GCATGGTGCACCCTGCACACACTGAGGAGCCCCTGGCCCAGGCCTCCACAGAAGCGGTGAAGTGCTCTACATGGTGTGACTTCCCACACACATGGCGGTGATTCTATCCGTCTCAGTCCCCATCCTGAGATCTGATGGATTTCACCTCAGTTCTGGTGCCGCAGGGTCAGTGGACCTATATCTACATGACCTCTGACTTCTACTCACAGAAGGCTGTGGTCCATGAAGTCACACATATTATCTCCTCCACCCCACCCCACCCCTTTTAACTTGGGAATCGCTTGCCTTTCCATGTTAGCAGCTGCCAATTTTGACTGACAGACCTCAAGTAAGACATGACCCAGGTGTATTAGTCAGGGTTACTATTGTTATGATGAAACACTGTGACCAAAGCAGCGTGGGGAGGAAAGGGCTTATTTGGCTTATACTTCAACATTATAGTCCGTCATTGAAGGAAGCCATGGCAAGATCTCAAACAGGGCAGTAACCTGGAGGCTGGAGTTGATGCAGAGGGCTTGAAGAGATGCGACGTACTGGCTTTCTCACATGGCTTGCTTAACCTGCTTTCTTATAGAACCCAGGACCACCAGCCCAGGAGTGGCTCCACCCACAATAGGCTGAGCCCCTCCCCCACTCCGTGTCAATCACTGGTTAAGAAAATACCCTATAGCCCATCTTATGTAGACATGTTTTCATGAGGCTCCCTCTCTGATGGCTTTAGCTTGTGTCAAGTTGTCATAAAACTAGCCAGGACACTAGGCAGCTGGGCATTTAGTCAGGTCATCACTCCTTAAGATCAGGAGTAGCTGTGTCCATCCGTCAAGCTATAGTATCAGAGCATCCTGGGCTAAGGTCAGCAGACACTGAGATATGTGCAGGGCTTCCAGCTCTGCCACTCAATCCTACCCATTCTCTAGGTTTGTTTAGTCACTGCTAGCCTATGGGTTGAACACCAGGCAATTCATGGTCATATCCAGAGGGAAGCAGAGACCACTCCCAACAGGCTCCATTTCAGGGAGGAGAAGGCATCTCCGGAAAACGTATGTTCTTTGTGTTTTTAGGGATGGGGTCACTGTCTGTCTTCTGACAGATTACTGCCCCCTCCTTCCCTCTCTGCAGTTGATTTATTTAAAGGTGTGTCAGCACCAAGACCTGATGAGGAGCTGGCCCCTCCTCCCTGCTGATGGCAGCCGTGCCAATAATTCATTTTTTAGCTCATTAGCTAACAGAGACTGTGAGCAGTGATCCTCCAGGGCATTGGAATGAGGCGAGGTGATCTACTGCCAGCTCCGCTGCTCTTGAACTGGCCTTCCTTGGGGACAATGAAGCGCATGGCCAGGGGATCTGAGAATAATAACTGGAGTCACTGTGCCTTGGCACTGTGGTCTCCTAAGGGTGGCGATGTTGACAGAATGGAACAGAAACTATTATCAGTGTCCTCTCTCTGCACTAGAGAGAGCTGTGGAGAAGGACGGCAAAGTATCATATGCAGGCTTCAGGGACTGGAAGCGTGTGGTACAAGATCAACGTACTGTGGTTGTCTTGGGAGGCCTGCCTTCCTGGCTCGCATATCCCTTCTGCTGTGCATGGAGGGAGAAGCGGGGTGGCTAGCAACTCTTGCTTTTTATGGGCCCCAGCTGTAGTGGGTTGGAGATCCATCTCAAGGGCCCCATTTAACATGATCTACTCCCTGAACACCTTGCCTCCCAGTAAAGCCACACTGGTGGATAAAACTTCAACACGTGAACTTGAAGTCAACCAGTTTGGCCCATGACAAGAAGACGACTTAGGCCTCTTAGGCCCGTGCATACACACGCTCCATACTTAGCCCCTGCAACACTGACAACCATGGAATCGTTTGAACTAGCCAAGACCCTTTGCCCTTGATGTCCAGGGCCTCCATACCCTCAAGGGACTCACTAAACCCCTGGACAAGAGCTGCTCACATCCCTATGTTCCACATGGTGAGTTCTGGGGCTCTCACAGTGACAGGCAGCCATAGACTAGAAACCCCCAACACACCACAGGCATCTTTGTTTATCCATCACGTGACAGCACACTGGTGCATGCTATGGGTCTGACCGTAACTGAGCCTGAGTGGTTAAAGATAGGTTTTCTCCAGTTTGCTGCTGCAAAAGGGTGGCTGTGGTCAGTGAGTAGACCACATACGTGATCTTAGGTCTGGACATCCCTGACTTCAATAAGTGTCGCCAGGACCATTTTACAGATGACAGTGCCCAAGGAGGGGAAGATGAGAAGAGCGGGTGCTGAGACCCTAAGCTCTCTGCGAAGGTGAGAACGCAGCCTCACAGCCCAGTGTCCATGGGGTTCCTTTACCCTCCCTCCCTGTAGCCATTGGAAAAGCTTACCAAGCCCATGTTGGGGTGCTCTTGTTAGGTAGGCAGAGGCCACAGAAGACAGATTCTGAACAGCACGGAGAACTTGGGAGTTGATGGGAACAACTGAATTCACACCCATAAACCTCCATTGCCCTGAGCCAGGCCCTGTTTCTATACTAAATGGATTTCAGGGAAAAAAAAAGAATCTGGTGCAGCCTCACCTAGATTTCTGTTGAGTTCAAAGCCAGGGGTCCCCAGTAGGCATTGCAGGCTTCTGTGTTTTAGAAGTACGAAGATCCGGTAAAGAGCTGTTTCCATCTGATGCTAAAAACCACACCAAGAGCTGGTCTAGGGCTTGTCCTTGGTGGAGGCAGGCATCTGTGCTCCGTCTTTGGCTGGGTATTTGAATATTAAAATGAAATTTTAATCATTGCAGTTAAGACCAGAGTTCTGATGTGAAGTTCCCCCGTTACCCCTGGATGATCTGGCAATGACTTTTAAAACCAACTGGAGCAGAATAAGACAGTCTGATTTTAATGCCTACCCAAAAATGAGAGTTAGCAGATTGGAAACTAGAGGTCTGGACGTCTCCTACACCATTAGCCCTTCTCATTTAATTCACGTCTTGCTCCTTCTCCTTCGTGATTTATGAACTACATCAACAAACGTGTAACATATTACAAACAAGCTTCTCAAGTAGACTCAGAACCACGGGGGTTTGGGTCTTGCATATCCTGGGCATCCCCCACCTCTCTGCCTAAGTAAGGATGGGGGCCCCTTGCTGCGGTTCTGGGAGCCAGTTCTTCTCGCCTGAAGCCAAGTGTTTGTCCTGGAAATCTCTGAATGAAGAGTCAGGGGTCACTTGGGGGTCACTCACATGTACCAGGAAGTGAAGCAAAACTAATCCAGATTTAGTCCTGGAAGAATCTGTTTGCCTAAGTATTTAAAAACAGATTAGGGCTAACCTGACACTAGGTCACCAGGCGCAATGTAAACACTGTGTGGAGGTGTAAACGAGGCCTTTCTTCTGGGCCCTGGAAGCAGAAATGTAATGAGTTTTCTTTTGGAGGGTTGGGGAAGGCCCTTGATTCCTCCACGCGGCTGCTAGCTGTGTGCTCTGATTATTGCAGTGAGAGGCTCTGGGTTTTAGAAGGCATTGTGAGTCAGTGCCTTACCGAATCTGAAATAATTACAGTCTCTCTGTGTAGGGTTTGCTCTCTTCATCATCCTCATGAAAACGCCATACTCGGGCCTCAGGAACACACCACAGGCTGCTGGGAAAATTCTGAGGACTACTCATGAAATCTCAGATCCTCTTTCACACACACACACAAACACACACACACACACACACACACACACACACACACACACACACACACACACACCCTGCCCTTTTCCTAGCAATGAGCTGAGTCAGAAAGACTGTGGAATTCGATGTCTCATCCTTCCTCTCTAGTGTTTTTGGTTTTTGTCTTGTTTTGGTTTTGAGAAACCAGCATCCATGTCTCACTATCCCAGAGCAGCTCACTCTTAAAAGCAGCCAGATGGGAGCCTCTCACTGGGTACCTATCTGTGACTGGTCTGGAACTGGGTATGTTGACCAGGAGGCCGGCCTTGAACTCACAGATCCACCTGCCTCTGATTCCTGCATGCTGGAATTAAAGGCTTGCACCACCATGCCCAACAACCCTCCTTCTTGATCAGTATAAACTCAGCATCTAGGAGGTTTTCTTTCCTCCCTCCTTATCTCTATAGTGCCCCCCAGGTGATGGACCCTGGGAGTGGGAGCCATGTCCCTGAATCTCCTGGACTCCAGTTGTGCTGGGAGTTACGGACAAGACCCCTTTGTTTCCATCACATCCTCAGAGCTTGCCACACTGCAGAGCCCAAATCCTTCCAGTTTTACCCTGCCCTCTGTCCCTAGCTTTGCTGTTGCCTCAGAAATGCCCCACTTTTTCTCCCTGAGGCTGGGCCCTGGGACACTTTGCCCCAGAAATCAACACCCTGCGCCCCCTCCTTAAACCTTTCACAAGTTTCCAAAGACATGACAGATTCCTGTGTGAATCTTCAGTGTTTCCTTCAGCTGGAAGTGTCAGGAGACCCTTGGGGACTCACACGTGTCCTCATCCGGGGGTGGGGGGTTGGGGGGAGTTAAGAGCAGAGAGCCTACTCCCCTCAGATGATGACTCTGCTGTCCCAGCTCTAGTCTCCTGACACTTGCCAGCCCTAGAGCATAGGAGCAGCTCACCTGGGGCCTTTCTTTTAGGTCAATATAAGCACATCTTGCTGGGGGTGGGGGCCCCTCCTTCCTTGCTCACGGAAAGCACAAGCCTTTGAACTATGGAGCCCATGTTTGTCTTGCACTAATGCAGGCCCCCAGGCCATGGACTGTTCTTACATCTCAGAGGTCTCAGGGTCCCAGCAGTGGCCTGCAACACATACCCCAGAGGTTATGACTCTGAAATCAGTGGATCCTGCAGACACAAGGACAGCACTTCCGGAACTATGAACAGAGCACCCCCCAAGGGGGCTTTATCCCAAAAGGAGACTATTCTGTTTCGTTCCCGTGCCTCCTAACCATGGTGGCTGCCTGAGCAGGGCTTCCGGCCTCAGTTCTAAAGTCCAGTCCTGACTGTGCCTGTCTGGTGACTTTTGTAGGGAAGAAAAGGAACGATGGATCCGGGCCAAGTATGAACAGAAACTCTTCCTGGCCCCACTGCCATGTGCAGAGTTCTCCCTGGGCCAGCAACTGCTGCGTGCCACCGCCGAGGAAGACCTGCGGACCGTCATCCTGCTCCTGGCGCACGGGTCCCGGGACGAGGTGAATGAGACCTGTGGGGAAGGAGACGGCCGCACAGCACTACATCTGGCCTGCCGCAAGGGCAACGTGGTCCTGGCTCAGCTGCTAATCTGGGTAGGTGGCTTGGGTGCCCACCACACGCCCAGTGGAGGGAGGGGCCACTGCGGGGTCAGAGTGTGTTACCCTATTGGCTTCTCCTGTTTCATTTCACAGAGAAGGCCACTGTGCCTGAGAGCTGACCATAATGGGATTTGAGGTTTATATCTGGACTTACCTGCATGAGGGTTTAGAACACAGAGGACCTCTGGGTACAGAGCCGGAGTGAGACAGGAGCTCACTTGCTAGTTTCGGTGTCTTTCTGATGACCTCTCCATCAAGCATCCTGCAGGGAGAGGTTGGGACGTGTTTCTCAATGTCATCCTCTTTGCGGGTGAGGGTAGGGGTGTGAATAACTTGAATGGCTCCTAGGAGTCCCCTTGCCAAACCTGTGAATTTTATTCTCATAACACAAAAGTACTGGCCCTAGGCACCGAGGTCTGATAGGTGTGAGTTTGTCACCAAGCCTCTCTTGTACTGTTTTAATGACTTTCTACTCAGGGGGGAAAATGCTATTCATTGAAATTTGAATTTGAACTTCGTAAGAAACTGAAATTGGATAAAGTGGTTGCTTAGAGAGGCCCTGCCTGTGTGGGCTGAGCTGAGATGCTGTAATACCATGTCCCCAGGCGACTTCCTAAACATCACTCAGGGACATCTGCCACTTATACATACCCTGGGGCCTCTTCTCAGCCTCTCTTCTGGTGACAGGGATCCAACACAGCTGAAAACTAATGTATTTCTCTGTGTGTGTGTGTGTGTGTGTGTGTGTGTGTGTGTGTGTGTGTGTGTATGTACACGAATGCATGCACACTTATCAGAAAACTACCTCAAGTGTTGTTCTTTGTTACCCACTTTAGATTGTTTTGTTGGTGTTCACTTGTTGAGACAGCATATCTCATTGCCTAGAGCAGTCCAAGTAGACTAGGCTGGTCTAGTAGACAGGACCCACCTGTCTCTGCCTTCCCAGCAATTGGGATTACTAGCCTGCACCACCACACTCAGATCGTTCTTTTCAATATGGTTCTAAGGAATCAAACTCAAGTTCTCTAAATTGGGAGATGAACCATTTTACTGACTGAGATATCTTGCCCCAGTTTCTTCATGGTTTTAATTCACTTTGAAGAACACAATGGGAGAATTTGGTTAGATGCAGATGCTAAGTCAGGGTAATTCACGGTTCATCCTCCCCCTCTCTGGTCATTAAATGACAGTTGTGTTTGGTTTGCTTGGGCCACAGTAACAAAACTACAGAGCACAAATACTGTGCTCTCACAGCTCTGGAAGCTAAAGGGGCTCCTTTGCCACAAGGCTGTGCTCCTCGGCTAGCAGATAGGACCTTGCTGTGGCCCCAGGTGGTCACTTCTGTGAGCATGCATCCCGGTGTCTCCCAGTGTCTCGTTCCTTCAGGACACCGGACTGCTCAGCTCCAGCAGATGGAGTTCCGGTCTAAAGTACCGGGGGCCATTTAAGACTTGAGCATTGTAATTTGAGGGACATAACCTGTCTGCACACATTTCCTTCTGACGCGGGCCAGAGCTCCCCATTGCAGTGTTCCATGTTACTCGAGTGTCTGAAACCGCCCCATACACTGAGTTACACAAGCATGTGTGAGCCATCCCTTATCACGAGCAAGAAACTTAAAAGTATGTGAGTGCGTTTGCCTGTGCGCGTGCGTGTGTGATGTGCTTACAGGTTGTTTTTTAACTTTTTCAGGATTTATTCCCTTTTTCCATTCATATATATGTAGGTATCTGCCAGTGTCCCCTGAGGACCTGAAATAAATGGGTGCCAGGTTCCCTATAGCTGTAGCGACAGGTAGGTGTTGAGCCATCCAGCCTGAGTGCCAGGGTCCAAATTCACACCTCTGGAGCAGCAGTAGATGCTCTTGACTGCTGAGCCATCTCTTCAGAAGTTACTTTATTTTGTTTTTAGGTGTGTTCAGGTACCTATAAGGGCCAGAAATGGGTACCAGATTCCCTGGAGCTTGAGTTACAGTTGTAAGCCACCCAGCGTGAGTGCCAGGAACTCAGCTCAGGTTCTGTACAAGAGCAGCAACTCTTAACCACTGTGTCATCTCTCCAGTCCGTTGGTTTATTTCTGCAAAGTGAGGATGGAACCCACAGCTTGTGAATAGTGGGCTAGGACTACAGCCCTGAGCCCCATATTGTGTACTATAGGGCTAAGTGTACTATCCCCGGCTAATCTTCAGTGTGAGCATGGGCTTCCCTGGGCTCCTGAGAAAGACTACATAAAGATAAACCTCTCCTCCGTCACTAGCTCTGCCAGTGACAACTTCTGAACAAAATATGCTATAGCCAAGGGCGGAGTAACTGAAATAGGGTTTTGTGTTTTGATGGTACACGGCTGTTAGGAGCCAGGCTTTTGAATAAGTTTTGATAATGTAAGAAAATGCTCAAAGTCTAGTTCAGCAAACTATTTGGTTCTATCTCTGTTTGAGTCAAAGAAGACTCATTAGAAAAGTCTAGGAGCGTAGCTTAGTGGTATATCCTCACTTAGCACGTGCCAAGCCTTCGGCCTCCAGTACTAAGGAGGGGAAACACACAGAAACAACAGACTCTTGGCAGCAATTTTTTTCTCTTGTGCTCAGATGTGTTTCTTACATATTTTCTACAAAGAAACTGAGATACCGCTGGGATTTTTTTAAACATTACTTTTTAAAATACTTGCCTTTATCTTGTGTGTGTGCGTGTGTGTGTCTGTGTGTGTGTGTGTGTATGTGTGTACGTGTGTGGCACAGAGGGCAGCTTGCAGAAGTGGATTCTCCACAATGTAAGTTCGGTGGATCAAACTCAGATCTCAGTCTTGACAAGGACCCTTGCCCTCCGAGCGGTCCTTCTGCCCTTCCCCGTGTGTATACAACTGGAAAGGTAAAAACGAAGATCAGAGTTGAAGCCCTCTTTGACCTGTTTGTCGGGTTGCCTTCCCTAACAGAGCAGTTACAGAGCCTGCTCTAAACAACAGAAGAACGCTGGGTTTGCGGTCCCTGGGTCTCGGGGGTCTCCATCTCAGCTCAGTCCACCTGTAGGAGTTGAGGGTGTGACCTCAACGGTCTGCCCTCGGGTCCTCGTGGACACTAACTTGCTCTCCGTTGCTTCTACAGTACGGGGTGGACGTCATGGCTCGAGACGCCCACGGGAACACAGCACTGGCCTATGCCCGGCAGGCCTCCAGCCAGGAGTGTATTGATGTGCTGCTGCAGTATGGCTGCCCCGATGAGCGCTTTGTGCTCATGGCGACCCCCAACCTGTCCAGGAAGAGCAACAGCAGGAACAACAGTAGCGGGAGGGCGCCCAGCATCATCTGAGGTCGGCCAACTCTGCACCTGGGGCCACGCCCACCTGCTCCCTCCAGAAGCCACAGCACGTGAGTCCCTCAGCTCCCTCCCTCTTCCTGGGGGTCACTTCACCCACCTACCACTCACACACTCCACAAGAAATCTCCAAACCTGGACACCCTCAAGGGGAGAAGAGGAGACTGGAGGCCACAGAACCGAACTCTTTTTCCCACACTCCGGAAGCCACGCAGGAGGGACCGACAACCTCCCGGCTTTGAGGATAGCACACGATCGACGGGGACCCCTGTTCCAATGACCTGGAGCACGGGGGGAGGGGTAGCGAGGAGAAGGGGCATCTTCCCCTAACTGGCAGTTAAGCACATCAGTACATTTCACCTCGACCAAAAGGAGGCTTGGATTCCACGTCTTCTCTGGGGAGCTTGACGGCATAAATCAGAAGCGAGCACAGTTTGTCAGGTCTGAAGCCCCTATGATGGTAGGTGTCAAATCATTTGTAGCTAATCTGTCCAGGGAGAATACTGGCTTCATTACACTTGTATAGTCGAGTTCCTCCAGCATTACCGCTGTTTAATAGAACGTGATTAGTCATCACCGGGAAGAAGGCATATTAGCCGAGGAGGTAGTTACACGGCACGCTCCGGTGATTGCCACGATGTGATTGCAGTGCGCTTAGAAGCATCATATTATCCCAGACATGTCTCTCCAGCCCTTGGAGCCCTCCTTTCTAAATTCACTGTCATAATTTAGTATCTGTTTAATTTTTCAGTCCAAAGAGAGGAAACCAGTTGCCGGGTATTATTTGACTGCAATCTCCTTCCTTGGTGCAAAAACAAAATGGAAAAAAATAAATAAGAATAGCTTGGAAATTCAGAAAGAAATCATGAATCCAGCTGAAAAATAGCTTCTCAACTATGCTCCAAAATTAAGTAAATACGTAAAATGCTATTTTTTTCCTAAGAGAGATTTTTCTGTCCTGTGGCCACAATGGATGTGTCAGGCCTCAGTCACTCCTAATCCACAAGGTCTGAGTTACCCAGGTTTCTGTCGTAGAGAAGATGTGTGAAAATCTATTTGAATAAAAGAAGTTCATAAATATGCATTGATTTTTGTGCAGACAAATGGCACCTCTGTTAATTTATAAATTGAGCTGGATGGGAACTAATAACGTGCAACTAGTTGAGATCAGAGGGTTACAGATCATTGTACATGGGAAGTACTCCCAGCAGTAAACACTTCCATTAATGTGATAAACAGCTTTTTAAAAGGTGCATATCAGAATAAGATGGTGGTACAATTTGCTTATTAAAACCAGGAAGGGGTGGGGGGAAGGGAAGGAGGGAAGTAGAGAGGAGGAAGGAGCCTGGGAGTCATCATCCCAAAAGCAAGATGTAGAGCCCAGGCCACTCTTGCCAACCAAAAACCAGGGGCCATGGCGAGAAGGGGTGATTTTCAGAACGCCAGACCCACAAAGGCACCCTGTGAGCAGCTGCTAACCGTCCTGGCACAGCTGGCTCCTGGGAGCCCCTAGACTGTGTACTGTCCATCCTGTCTGTTAGACTGATTTGCCATCATGGGCCACAGGGTGCATCAGACTTCAGCACGGTGGTCAAGAACACTAAACCGTGACACTGTTTAGTTAAAACAAAATGAGGGGCAGCCTTGCCAGAGAGGGCCCTTGTGTCATTGTGGCAGGGAGAAGGCCATCACACTGGAAGACAGGACACTGGGCAAAGCCACCACCCGGCATCCTGTGGAGAAGCTCCTTGCTCTCATATATTGAACTTTATATTTTGTAAGAGTTTTTTCCTCTTCTTTCACTTTTTAAAAAAAAAATCTAAAGTAGATGGGAACAAAAGTCGAGCTTTAGACAGCGTTTATATGTGGGTGAGTGCTCGTGGAGATCTCCAGTCTCAACACAGCTGGGGCCGACCAGTGTCCAGAAATGTCACAGGTGCGAAAGCCAGTTTGAGACTGCTGCGCTCAGTGCCACAAACCCCAGGCTGGGTTGTTCATCCTGCTGTCCATCCCTGTGTCGTCACTTTAAATGTGAATAGAGAAAACAAGCTGTCATGGCCTATTTTTGAAGAATGCATTAGCACCCAGCCCTGCAACCCGCGTTCGCCTCCACGTAGCCTTTACCATAGACTTCTATAGAGAACACAGATTAAATTGTTAAATTATTTCCGTGTGGTTAATTCCCACTAGAGGAGTGCTTTTATCATAGGGGAGCCTGCTTCAGAGAGGAAGTGGGATCCCTTGCAAGGCCTCTCTTTGGGGTGTATATGAGTGTGTACATAGAACTATGTGTTTATAATAGAATATTTTCCCGAATGACTCCTTGTTTCACATCGCCCTCCACTGCCTGAATGCTCAGTTGCTCGCTCTGACTCCCTCCCTCCCTCCCTCCCTCTCTAGGGCACTCTGACATCACCAATTCTTCCTCAAAACACATGGCCCCCTCCCCTACCAATTTTCGCTTTGCTGGAACTGTCCAAGGGGTAGCCCACTTTTCCTTGAGTTTTGGCAACAGATGGAATGGTGCCAGTGGGTTTTCTATGCAGACAAGGGCGAGAAGCAGCCTCACCTGTGCTTACATTTCACCTTCAGGGCCGAGTCCTCCCCTCAGCGACAACCTGCTTTCTCCTCTTTGTTCAAGCTGACGCCAAGGAAGAGTGAAACCAGGACCAGGGTTGTAGGGAAGGGCGTTGGGGTTTGATGGAGAACTCTCGCACACTAAGCACTCCCTTTAGTGTGGCCCACATCTGTAAGGAGCGTGTCAGAATAAGATAGTGGGGCGTGGACTTACTGAAGTCAAGAAGGGAAGTGGGGAAAGTCAGAGAAGCAGGTTAGCCGGGAAGTGGCATGTAAGTTCAGAGACCACGGTTCCGTCAGGGCCCAGGTGACAGATGTGCGAGCCAGCCCACTGCAAGCCCGTGCAGACTTTGTGTTCAGGTGCATTTTCCTCTCTTACTGAGAAGCAGGCAGCTGAGGCCGGCCTGTGACTTGTCCATCAAGTGTCCTGGGGTGGGGTGAGGGGGCAGTCTAGCCTGCAGCTACCTGTGCTGAGCTCCTGTTGTCCTCAGGTGAACAGTGTCGGTGTTGGGTGGAAAGCCACGCCCTCCTTATTGTCCCCACTGCTGGGAAGGCTTACAGAGAGGAGCTAAGCACTGCTCTCCTACCATCCCCAAGTGTCCCTGAAGGCTAAGATGACGCCCCTCCTCCAGCCTTGGGCCTCTGCTCTTGGCTCATCAAATCTCCGGTGTGGCTGCTGGGGCACAGTACATGCAGGCTGTCCTTGCCCTGCTCCCATTAGCTTTGAGGGTCACAACACCCAGGCCTTGGGCTCCACTGCCCCGGTTACCCCAGAAGAGCCTGGTCAGAGCACCCTGCAGCTGGTATCTCCCTTCTGTGAAGACCCACACTGAGTCTGTGTCGGATCCCGGTGAACCAGGGACCTGCAGGCCCTGAGCCTAAGTTGTGCTCTGAGTTGCCAAGGTGGCCACCATTCTTCCCTATTTTCTGGCCGAGATGGGCAGTCTCTAGCCCTCCTGGGGACACAACAGCACAGCTAGGAGGAGTGTGATCAGGGCCTCCCACGCTACCAGGAGGCTGAGGTTTTTGAGAAGCAAGGCCATGCCTTCTGGTGGGCTCTCCTCAGGTCTCCTATCTCCATCATTCACACCCTCCAAGGTTCCTGAGGGTTTGCTAGAGCTGTGTCAGGGCTGTATTTATGACTTTGAAGCAAACAAATTGAAAAGCAGTCAGGAAAGAATTTGAAGAAATGTGACACCAATGAACATCTTTCCTTAAAAAAAAAAAAAATAACAAAACAGAATTTATCCCCCACGGCTTCTGTTGTGAAGGCACAGCTGGAGGTGATTTCGCTCCTGTCACTCACATGAAAGCTGTCAGGGCCATTGGTGTCCCATGTGCAATCTTCTCTTCCACTGTCTCTTGGATTCTAAACAGCCCCACCCCTGCCAGCCCTGGCTAGCACACAGTAGGACCAGGAAAGCCACATGACCCAGCTATCTGTGTCTGGCCTATTTGGAGGCCTTCTCTTTAAAACAGCTGATGTGAATGGGTTTTTAGCCAAAATGTAATATTCCTTCATGAGAGGAGAGAAGGGCAGGAGAAGGGGCCAGCTACTCTCCTGGTGCACACACACACTTGGTCCTCAGGGTTTTATTCTCACTCTGGCACCAAGCAGCAGCCTCCTCAGCTTAGAGCAGCCAGTGCCCAAAGTCAGGGCTCGTCTCTTTCCTCAAAGAGATGGCTGACCATCTGAGGCCTTAGTGTTTCAGGACACAGAGTCTCTCCCTGCTCCTAGCTTTCTCAGAGGCTAAGATTTCTGTTTAGTTTCGGCTACTTTTTCAGCATTGCTTTGCACCCTGGGTCAGAGTTGAAGAGGGAAAACCTTTCATCGTAGATGAGTCTAGACAGCCGACAAAGCTTTGTATCCTTCCGTTTTCACAGACCCGGGTCAGGTGTGTTTACGTGCCATTAGCCAGGCGACTCCCTGCCCAAGGCAGTGCACAGCGAGGGTCCATGGAGAAGCTGGCCTCCTGTCCCTCATCTTCAAGAGGCCAATTTTCCTATAGAAGAGCAGTATTTAGTTCTGGGGTTTGCTCCTGACTGGTCAAAGCGTTTTTAACTGAGGCCTCTCCCATAGTGAGCCTCAGGTAGGTGTGGGCACCCAGCACTGGCAGCTGCTGGGTCCAAGTAAGTGGCCTTGGTGAGTGAGAGAGGGATCAGCTCAGGGCTTGTCTTCATTTTGGTGGGCGCCTGGCATCTGCAGGGGACCCCTGGGGGTCATGAATCAAGCCATATGATGGACTCTCCCACCATAAGGGAGGATTGATCTGGAGTTCTGTGTGCAGGGAATTACATAGCCTTTGTCTTGTTTCGGGTGAAATGAAGGAACTAAGAGGTGTGAATGGGTGGGGGCTGGGATTAGGCCCAGAGGAGAGACCCTTGGCACACTGCTGCCATTGTGCCCCAATGTCCAGGTTCAGGACTGCATCCACAGGAGCCCAGATACTAGTGTGGATGTTAGAGAGGGTTTTCAAATGCTTGCAAAAAGAACTTAGTGTGGACTGTCTGAGGGCTTTGAGTAGAAAGACCTATGTAGCCCAAAACAGAATTGTAAACAGCCCTCTATCCATAGCTGAGGGACTCCAAAGCTACCTGACCTGCCTGGCTCATCAGGGCAGGCAGAAAAGGGACCCAGGGTGCTGTGCAGTCCAAATGTGGCTTCCGGTTCCTGCTCTTGCATGCCCATTTTGCTCACCTTCCAGACCGTGCGGTTTTCCTACCAGGGTGGTACTGAGGGTACCCAGGGCTCCTGTGTGGTGGACAGGCAAAAGACACCTTCAAGTGGTCTCTGTGACCAGAGAGGACAGACATCTGCACCTTCCTGTTAGAAATCACCCTTCTCTTCTATGTAAACCTGTTCCCTTCCTCCCCACGTTGTGGGGTTTTATGTCTTTATTTTTTTGAGGGGGTGGTAGTTTTCTTCTAAAATACATCTGTTCTCAAGATGAGAACCGGTCCTCCAGCTCTGAGCCCCAGGAAGTGAAAGGGTGTTGAGCCCCAGGAAGGCACAGGAGGTAGCTGGCCCCTTACAGTGGCTGAGCCTGGACCCGCAGGGGACGGAGCCCCCAGAATCCTCTCTTGCCAGCTTCTCATCCTCGTCTCCAGCTCCACACTGAGTCCTCATCTTGCCATAGGCGCTTCTTTGCAAAGGAAACCCAGGGCAAAGTAGGGGTGCAGCTGGCAGGTTTCCGGGCGGGGCAAAGAATGCCATGTCAACCGCCTAGACACATAGAAGGTAGAAGCACAGGGGCTTCTCCAGAGGTGGGTGGTCCGTCTGGGGCATTTTGATATTACCTCATTCCATAACTTTGTGTTTCCCAACGGCTGATGCTTTATTTATGCTGTTTGTCCTGTAATTAAACCATCCACAGATATTTCGCTTTGCTTGTTCGTTCATGCGACCTTGTTCGGGTTAAATATGCTGGTTTGTATTTTCCTGCCTTGGGATTTTGTGTCAGGTGTACAGTATTCTAAGGGGAAAAGAAAAGGAAAAGTGTGTAAAGTAATGGAGAGAGGTGGCTATAGTGTAGAGACCTCTTTCTAATAAATGAAAATATGTATATACGGCTTCTGTGGAGTGTCTTCTTGATAGCAATTTGTCACAATTAATTGGTTTCCACTCCCAGGAAGGTAAATCAGACAAGAGGGGCTTTGACTGCCCAAGGGAAGCTTGTCCTAGAGACAGGCCACCCATATGTGAGGGAACCAACCCCCTCAGCCTGCAGCAGAGACCCAGGCAGTTGGGACCCAGGAAGCTGGATAGATGTCTCCTCCATCAGTCGCAGGTATGGGATGCTCAAGAGGGTGGATTTGGCAGTTCCTGGTGCTTTTTGTGTCTCAGTATTGCCCTTCCCCACGTGACTGACAGGGATGCAGTGGACAGCTAAAGATGAAACTCACCGGACCTGCGCTGTCAATGTGGCTACTGTCAAAAATATTATTACAGCTTTCTCGAACAAATACATACATTATACCACCCCTGACACACCCACCCCGCCCATTGGCACAGTGTTCCAGGTAAGGAATGCCCACAGGTGCTCCCGTGAGAATCCTATCTTTGGACCCTTTCCCATGGTGCAATTTAATTGCCCGCAGTGTGCACGTTCTACGTGGACCATCACAGCCATAAGAGTGTGACTCCATACCGAGGGCCACATGTCACTCAGCACAACTGACCACATACATACCCAGGCAGCGTGTCCTCTGGAAGACAGTTAAAGAGACATTCAGGAGGTGTTCCAGCACGTGCTGGGGTTTTCTTTTGTGAGGGATTTACAAAGCAGTGTGAATAAACTCTTCCTCACAGGTAAGACAGTTCAGGTGTGCTCTGGGCCTGGTCTCCCCCAAACATTTGGTACTGTTACCCCAGTGTCTAAACTGCTGTCCTCCTGGGTGCATTCCAGATGGAAGGATGGTGGGGGGAGAGACAATGGAAACCATTCCCTCGTGGCTGTGTTCATACCACTGGTCACTCAGGACCACACAGAGGGTACGGTGTGTGCTTGGTAGAGTCTAGAGAGTGCGGGAAGCAGCAGCCCATGGTCTCGGCCAGCACACACACACCCCCGTGGTTGGAACAGTACACTTCTAGAGAGGCCACGTGGCCGGGCGGTGGTGACACATGCCTTTAATCCCAGCACTCGGGAGGCAGAGGCAGGCAGATCTCTGTGAGTTCGAGGCTGGGCTGGACCGACAGCCTCCAAAACAATACAGAGAAACCCTGTCTCGTAAAAAAACAAAAACAAAAAACAAAAAAAAAAGAGGCCATGTGAGCAGGCACCAGCTCCCAGCTCTCCCACCTGTCTGTCCCCAGTGGCTTTGTCCCTATTGTCTCTAGAGTTCTAGGTCAGCCTTAGAGAGGTCTCCTTCCCAGGAGGACTCAGCTTCTCCAGGGCCCCACAGGTGGGCCCTGAATCCTGTTTCCAGTACAGTGCTCTGGGAAGTAACTCTTGGGTTGGAAACAAACTTAGTGTTTAGATCTTGAGGCAAGCCGTTTCTGTTTGTTTGTTATTTTGTTGTAGGGATCAGGTCCTGAGCCCCACACATGCTAGGCAAGTGCTGGACTATGAGTCACGGCCCAGCCTATCTGTACATTGAGACCCTCATTCCGTAGGGTGTGTGGGAATACTGGAGGTCCTTCTCTCCATCCACCTTGCTGAGTCATGACCCCTCTTGTTTCTTGCCCCTAGTGCACAAAGATCTGATCCAGGCTAACTGAGAGCTTCCAAGCAATGCCCCATCTCTGTCTTACAGCAGGAGCTGGGACTACAGAGGCCGATCACCACCTCCATGGGTTTTTTTCTTGGGTTCCTGGTATCTGGCTGGCACTGAAGGTTTTCAGTGTGATTGCTCAGTGCTGGCCAGGGTGACATGCCCTTGTGCAAACAACTGTACAAATAGAGAGAGACTCTGTGGAGAATGTGACAGTACCCCAGCTCTCCCCTTAACTGAAGATCCAGGTGACACAGTTTGTCACTGTGCATCCAGATGAGAGCATGCAGAAGAGCTGAGAAAATCTACCACTTGGGAATCCTGGGTGAGTGATGCCCATCACTGTGCTCTTTACAACAAAACTGGAAAAAAATCTCAGGCCAACATACAAAGGGAGGGATGGTGATGACCCTGTTACTAGGGGCTGGGAGCCTGGGATATAGATGTACAATGCTTGCCTAGTGTGAATGAGACCCTGGATTCAATCCTAGTGCCACCGCCACCTACCACCCCCCCCCAAAAAATAGGGAAAGGAGAGAGAGACAGTAATTAGAGCACTTGGGGCTGAAGGTGTAACTCGGTCTATAGATCGCTTGCTTAGCATGCATGAGGCCCTGGGTTTGAACCCCAGTTATAGGTGTCAAATTCCAGTAATCCCATGCACTCCAGAGATGAATAGAAGAGAGATGAAGGCAGGGCGTTGGTGGCGCATGCCTTTAATCCCTGCACTCGGGAGGCAGAGGCAGGCGGATCTCTGTGAGTTCTAGGCCAGCCTGGTCTACAGAGCGAGTTCCAGGACAGCCTCCAAAACAGTACAGAGAAACCCTGTCTCAAGAAACCAAAAAAAAAAAAAAAAAAAAAAAAAAGGGAGAGCGCATGCACACGTGCAAGAGAGAGAGAGAGAGAGATGAAGTTCAAGATCATCTTAAGCCACATTCAAGCTTGAAGCCCACTTGAGCTACATGGGATCCTGTTTTGAAATGTATTTGTCACTCAAATAATTTAAGACTGACCTCCGTAAGTAATCTTTTACTGTATTAGGAGATTCCAGATGCTGATGGAGTTCTGAATCTGGGTTCTTTCCTGTATCCTTTCCTTTAAAGGCCAAAGCTCTTGGTTCCCCCTGGCAATGAGAAAGCGGTTTGAGCTATTTATTAATATATTGTTCACTCACGCTGAGGTTGGTGAACCAATTGGCTAATTGATTAATAAGTTCCTTTTGTTACAGAAACAAATTGATTAGGAATTAGGAGGCATTAGGGTAATAAGGGGCAAAGCTTAACAGAGAGCCCCAAGGGCTGAGACTCCATCTGGCCTCCACAGTGCCCTCAGCTTGTGGCCAGAACCATCTAGGCCCCATGGGCCTGCTGGAGACCTCCTTAATCCCTGGGCCTGGAAGAAGTGCACGGATATGTTTCCCTACTCCAGCTCCTCGTCTCCCTCAGCACCCAAGGCTGGCTCTGAATGCTCTGCCCTGGCCCACCCTTGTCCCTCATAGCCTCTACTCCATAACTAATGCCTCTTGTCCTGAGCATGTAACCTGGTTTCTCCTTATTTGAAACTCCTTCATGGTTCCGTTATTCAAGGATTCTGTCTGAAAGTCTCGACACTGCAAGCTCCACCCACCTGCTCAGAGCTGCCTCCTCTCCCTGCCACGCCCCCCCACACCCTGTCTCTGCTCTTAGGACACTTTGCCCACCATTTCCTCTACCCTGGAAGGCCCCACTGTTACCAGCCAGTTCCTTACCTTTCTCTGTGTGTGTGTGTGGGGGGGGGGGGTGTCAGATAAAATGGCTCTTCCTCAAAGGTCACATTTAGTGATCTGAGCTCCACGGAGCTCTGGAGCTGCCACTGCAGGTCCGCACAAGGACTTAAGTCCCCTGTGGCACCTCCTGTGAGCTCCAGGAAGCCAGTCTGTCAGGGTCATTCTGGGAACCAGGGCCCATCCTGTCTCCATGTGAATGAGTGCAGAGCCAAACATGGGGTCTGTCTCCCTTGCAACATGGTCATGGTGAGCTTCCAGTCACAGACACACCTCCATGTAGGTCATTTCAGGAACCCCACCTTCAGTGTGACTGGCAGGACTGAGAAGGAAACTGGTCTGGAGGCAGCCCCTCAAGATGACGACAAGAGCCTGCTGCCCTGGACCCAGGAGAATTCTGCCGCCATTCCCACTACTCCCTACCCCGTGACCCTCAGCTCTTCAGCCTACCAACCATGCCAAGTCAGCATTGTTGATATACAAGACTCCTGGGTCTCATCTACCCATCCACATGGGTGTCTGCCCCCCCAGGGTCCCGCTGTCACCCACACCCAGCCTGCCCTGTCTGGTGTGCCCTGTAGCCTCACAGATCACTGCACAGTTGCCCCTAGACGAAAGCTTCACAGTTTGAACCAACAAGAGTGGAAAGAGTTACACTCAGCCCGCTGTCTGCAGCACGTTCCAAGCAGCCGCTGAGCCACAATTTATCACCACTGAAGTCCAGTAAGGCGCCTAATTGGCCCATAAATGTGGTCCAGTAACCGCACCTGACACCCAAAGACACTGCCGGCAATTAGCATTTATTTATTTGCATATGGTATTGACCGATCTTGGCAACTAGCTCACAAGATCTGTTTATTTTAAACCCTGGAGGGGGAAGAAAACCCTCATTTGCTGCACCGGAAACGGACTGCCATCACACGTACACAAGAGTGCATACTAGCCGGCACAATGGGACTGGCCAAGGGAGCCAGTGACTCGACTTGTGAACAGGGCCCTCCCAAGCTTGCCTCTCAACGTCGTGACTGCACAGGCCCCTGCAATGGTCAGTCTGTTCTCAGGATGCAGAAGTAGCTGGGAAGACAGAGTTGCCCAGATGGCAGCCCGTGTGTGATGTGGGCTGGAAAATATAACACCTTGGCCTTGACAAGCTGCCTCTCAGACCATAACTCCTTGTCCCATCTGCAGAACATTCCAGTAACTGATGGAAGAAGATGCAGAGATCCACAGCCAAGCACTGGGCGGAGTCCAGGTGAAGAGAGGGAGAAGGGATTATAGGAACAGAGGAGGGAGGAGTCAGGATAATGATGGAGAAACCCACCCAGACAGCTGACCTGAGTTTATGGGAGCTCATGGACAGCTTGGGAGCCAGCATGGGACCCACATAGGCCTTCTGTATCCGGATGACAGTTGTGTAGCTTGGTCTTCTGTGGGGTCCCTAGCAGTGGGACCAGGACCTGTGCCTGACTCGTGAGCTGGCTCTTAGGAACCTATTCCTGTGTTGGGATGCCTTGCCCAGCCTTGATGCAAGGGGGAGGAGCTTAGTCCTGCCTCAACTTTATATGCCATGCTTTGTTGACTCCCATGGT